GATTCCGTTTCCTGAGCGCCACTAGTACATAGTATGCCTGGATACGCCTGGCACTCGGCTAACCTCTTTGCACCCCCCACGCCCGCCAAAATCAACACCGACTCCCCTCAGAACTGCTTTCGTTGAGAGGGCAGGACAGGAGTGAGCGGTGCACGGCGAATATGGTTCTGACTAATGGGACAGGACGTAGGTCAAGCCACCGAACTTGAGGACGTGCTACTTGGACTGTCTGCACACATATTCTACAATGTCCATTGCTATTGTCGGCATGCTGATTATTCTTTTTTTCACTTAATATATATGCATGATGGGAGTATATGGCAATCGCTACCCCAACAAAGGGGTTCTCTCAAACAAAAAGCCCCAAAGCGCCTTGGGACTCCCAGGCTGGATTGCTCATCTTGTCCAGCAGGCCCCCGACATAGCTCTCCATCGCGTGGCCACAAGCCATCACGAGACCCGCACAGCCACCAAAAAGCTGCCCTCTCAACCGACCGAAGTTCTCAAGCTTTGCAGACTGGTGTCCGGTCATTGCTACGAGAATGCGTTGTAGCGTGCCATCGTGTGGCTCTTTGTGCGAACTTCTTCTGCCATGCGATCCCCTGCCCGAAGTTAGTCAGGAGGCAGCTCGTACCGCTGTCCCCCCTCGAACCTCGGACACTTGCGAAGCCAAACCTCGCTGAGGCTTCCATTTAGTGAATAATCGGATATAATGGGTGAAAATAGGTGGAGTGGGGATGGGTCGGGCGCTTGGGCCTTTCGTCCAGAAGAGTGGGGTTCTTCCATGAATGAAAGCCGAAGCTCAAATGTTATTTCCTGAAGCAGCAGAAGTTGCAAGCAAATGAAGGTATGACTATGTACGAAACCCATCCCTATCCGGCCCTATCCTCAAATATCAGAGCACCCGGCCAGCTTGGCTTTCGTCTTCGGCTCCGCTCGTGGGGGCGCTGTGACCGGCCTTTTGTGATTGATACCCTGGAGACCCCTCGTTTCATTGCAAGCCTGTTATTTGGTAACAACCATGATTCATGTAGAATCTTTGACGGCCTGCCGAGTTAGAGGATCTTTATGGGGGTTTACGAAAGAAAGGGACCCCTAATAAAGGATTCCCTTAAATAAAATATAATAAGGACCCCTGATAAGGTACCCCAATTTCGGGTTAACCCCCTCTGCGTTTTGGGTAAAGCCTGCCATCCAAATATCTCTGGGCTGGTTGGAAGGAGCTACGCCTGAAACCTGACACTACTGTACTCCAAATCAATGACAACTTCACCTGTTCCCCCCCCAAAACCCCGAGACTGCCAAACTGAGGGGGGGAGGTGGGCTTCAGTCCCATAAGAACTTTAGGCCAAAATGAAGTTCGTCTAAGCCCCCGCCCCTTGATACTCGATTCTGCCAACTTCGGAACACAACTTCGTCGAACCTTCTCTCATCTCTCACGGGCATCTACCCCTTGGGCCCTTCGTGAAGCCTTCCCTCCCGGCCCCAGCTCTGCCCCACTGATGGCTTCCTACTTCCGCGTCGCCCTGAAAGACAGCACGGGAGCATATTTGCAAGTGCAGCAGCCACCTGGGACCGGAATTGAGAACCGTTAGGGTACATGCAGCAAGCTCGTTTCCCTGACCGCCAGTTCGACAGTGGAGCTCCTTACAAGAGCTTGACAGTGTTGGCATTCATCTGAGCCGAAGGCGACGCTGGTGATACATGGCTGGCAACGCTTCCGCTGAGACTGTCTCCTTGGCCAAGGCAGTAAAACAATCTGCAGGACAAAACTCCGTACAATTGAACCCCCAAGCCCAGGCTGTTGTATGTCCCTTTCTGAATGGCGGTTTGAGATCACACCTCAGGGCGGGATCTGATACTTGGGAACCACAGAAGGACATGTCTACATCAGGAAAATCGCTCTACGACTGTTGCCATGTCATGTGGTATTGCTTCTCGGTGGTTCCCATAGTGCGTTGAGATACCACATGGCTCATTCATGGCAAGCCATTGATTCTTGATGCTGCTGCCACCGCCTTTCAATGCCCTGCAACACAGCTGGGGCCGTCTGAAGAGTTTCCTCGTGTTGTAGCGACGAAGACCTCCATGAACTGCCGGGCGCGGTTGGCTGGGAGGAAGTCCCAGAAGCAATGTCCACGATTTTTTCTTTGTGTTGAAGTCCATGGGCAGTCGAAAAAGTCAAGCATCCCCTCGGAACCGGCAATGAGTACCTCAGAAAGGAGCTCTTCAGGGATATGCTCGGTCACATCAGTGAAGAGGGCCGCCGCTTCCTTTCTTGCTTCTTCTTGCCCTGGGCCCTTGCCGCGGGTGTTGAGGCACTCTGAAGCTGCCTCGAAGATCTGAAGATCTCCTCCGCGTCAAGAATGGAGTCCATCACATGCTCAGGCTGCTCGGGTCTTTGCTGAACATCCGGGGAAGACCAGCCGAGCAGCAGGCGTCTCAACGTCACTGAGCAAAAACCCTGCAAGAACGTCCCTGTTTGCGCTTCCAAGAAGGGCGTTTCTGCGCAGTAACTGTGTACTGCGCTGAGTAATGCTGCACCGCGGGCCCCCTTGCCGGAACAAAAACACCGATATCTGCTTTGACTGTTGGGGGGGCGGGGGGGTAGCACAACACGCAGGGTCCTGACATCTCAGTGCATCAGAGACACGGCAGTAGTGGACGAAGCGCCTGGGGCTCTTAAGGCGTCTTATGGCTACACCCGTCACAGCGCACTCCTCCTTCTTACGGGGCTTCGGTTTCGGTGGGTTTGGAACTGGGGCCGGGGTACCCAGCTGCTGACCCCGAACCGAGGCTCCATCCCCCTGCTCAAACCCTTCGCTACCACCGTTCCCAGAAGACAAATAATCAGCACCCATCTTTCACGCCACAGCTCAGACCAAGCAAAGGTGGCTCCCGAATTTTCGCACATCCAGGCAGAGCCCTCTGCTGTCAGCCAAGTCACGCCCCATGAGGTGTGAACCGCCCGGTGGTGGGCTCGAAGATGCTCGAAGACCACGCCTTCCCAGGGATTCTTGCCAGAAGCTCTAGCGCTTCTTCGAGTTCGCAGTGCGTGGCCTTCACATGGCTCTTTTGGGATTGCCGCTTAACACGTGTTTTGTGAGTTGAGGGTTGAAGAGATACCCGGGATCCGCTTTCAGATCTCCAAAGTACTGGCAGTGCGTGCTTACAAAGCTTTCAACTGCTGCTCTCTAGGCACGCTGCAAGTGGCGCAGGTCGACATACGACTGCCCGGCGTATTCTCACGTGATCCGGCAGTGATCCGGCTCTATGCATGCATACAAGTCACTTTATGCTTTAGCATGCTGTAGCCACTTCCGCATGTCCTCGTAAGATTTGGGCTTGTAGGAGCCCAAAGTGAAGGCGCCCATGCTCCATTCGGAGAACCTGGCAGTGGACTTCAACAGGTGCTACTGCAGAACAAGGAAAATGGAGACAACTACTCAAAGACACAGAGAGCAAGTGTGCATGCTTGCTGGCTATGTCGACATATGTTGGCAATTATACAATGTGTATATGTATATATACATATATATGTCTGTGTGTCTGTATAAATGCGATATGCAACAGTAGGTAAGAGCGCGCTATAAATAAATAAGGATATATATATATATATATGCTCATATACATACATACATACATACATACATACATACATACATACATACATACATACATACATACATACATACATAGGGAGACATACACACAAACACATGCATAGGTTTAACATGCACATGAAGCATACACACGACGCGCACGTACCCAAAACCTACCTCAATTGAATGGCATGTGTGCATTTCTACAGACACGATACAGTTGCATGTTTATGCCTGCACAGCGGCCTTCTGCCGATGCGGCTCACATAAAAAAAAATGACGGGCCATTAGATCATCATAGCCTCAAGGGGTCCGTGTACCGATATAGTGTATACTTGGGGCCTAAAAAGGGGATCATTTACAGCAGCTTTAGTGCCCAAATATGCACTGTTACTTTATGGGTACATGGACCCTAAACCCTAAACCCTAAACCCTAAGTTACTATATGGGTACATGGACCCTTAGGGCATTTCATTTTTCACCTCAAGTGCAGAAAAGCTGCCAGCTGATTCGCTCCACGAAGCCGAACATCTGTCGGTTCTGGAGGCCATTCACTGGATTCCTTGTGGAAAAGGGTTTAATCGCTCACACTCGGACAAGCCAGGCGAGGCACACAGGTTCAGCAGTCTCAAAAGGGTTTAGGGTTTAGGGTCTAGGGTTTAGGGGGGCCTACAGAACAGTGAGGAGGGAATGTCACTGTATGCTGGTCGAGCGCAATGCGATAGATATCTTGAACTTTACAGCCGAACCCCCAAAACCGACCAGCTGGAACTGGTACTGCCACCCGGCGTCATGAGCTCGTCGACAAACGAGACAAGATCGTCAGCATCATTCGTACCCATGGTGACCTCCATGATGCTTTGCAGGCTCGCACACTCCAGGCAAGCCCAAACCAAAGCACAAATCTCGCCTTTGCAGTTGGCGTAGCACGTTTTACCCACCGAAAACCACCCACATCCCCGATGTACAGTTAACGAGCAGGGCCTTGCCAAGTACCAAGTACTACGTGGCAGAGTCACAACGAGCAACGGCAAAGAAGTCTCACTTCCCTTCATCAGCAGCCCAATACTCACCTCACTGCACGTGACATTGCACACACGTGATAGAACGGCAGCTCT